CACCTAGTTACCTACCACCGATTAGGCGCATGGACGCACCTAGTTACCTACCACCGATTAGGCGCATGGACGCACCTAGTTACCTACCACCGATTAGGCGCATGGACGCACCTAGTTACCTACCACCGATTAGGCGCATGGACGCACCTAGTTACCTACCACCGATTAGGCGCATGGACGCACCTAGTTACCTACCACCGATTAGGCGCATGGACGCACCTAGTTACCTACCACCGATTAGGCGCATGGACGCACCTAGTTACCTACCACCGATTAGGCGCATGGACGCACCTAGTTACCTACCACCGATTAGGCGCATGGACGCACCTAGTTACCTACCACCGATTAGGCGCATGGACGCACCTAGTTACCTACCACCGATTTGGCGCATGGACGCACCTAGTTACCTACCACCGATTAGGCGCATGGACGCACCTAGTTACCTACCACCGATTAGGCGCATGGACGCACCTAGTTACCTACCACCGATTAGGCGCATGGACGCACCTAGTTACCTACCACCGATTAGGCGCATGGACGCACCTAGTTACCTACCACCGATTAGGCGCATGGACGCACCTAGTTACCTACCACCGATTAGGCGCATGGACGCACCTAGTTACCTACCACCGATTAGGCGCATGGACGCACCTAGTTACCTACCACCGATTAGGCGCATGGACGCACCTAGTTACCTACCACCGATTAGGCGCATGGACGCACCTAGCAGGGGCTGCAGCGAGACTTGAGGCACCACGGAGAGGGCAATGAGGGCGAGACCTGCCAGCAGCACCACTGCCCTTGGGATGGGCGGGAGGGGTGGAAGGAGAAAGGGGGTGGGAGGAACGATTCTTGAGTCGACTCAAAATTCGAGTTGAGGCACCACGGAGAGGGCAATGAGGGCCAGCCCTGCCAGCAGCACAGCTGCCATTGGGATGGGCGGGATGGGAGGGATGGGATGCGACGGGAAGGGTTGGACGAATGGGAGGGGTAAGGGTGGATGAGATGTGTGGGAGCGATGAGAGGAACGCGGATGGATGGGAGGGATGTTATAGAGAGGAGGACCAGAGAGGAGTGGAGTCAACTGAGCGCCTCGTGGTCCAGCTCGCCCATACCACCACCACCAGCACCACCAGCAGCACCAGTGACTTACCCAGCCCGTAGCACTGGTTGGAGGAGTGAAGACGGCTAAGGGCTTCGTGGTCCAGCTCGCCTGAGAGGGGGCGCACGCCCACGCGCAGGCGGAACACACTGTCCGGTTTCACCATCATGCCTGCCCGCGATATCGACACCGTCACCGCTCCCTCTGGGGCAGCCCCAGCACCACCAGCAACACCAGCAGCACCAGCGCCTTCGCCAGTCTCACGGCCCCACGTGCCCTGCCGCTGCTGCTCCTCTGTGGAGGAGAGAGGCAGGTGGATGGGGTGGGTACGCACTGCCGCCAGGTGGGGTGGCAGCGGCTGCAGCTGCGGCTGGGGGGGTTGCTGGGGCTGCTGCGGCTGCTGGGGCTGGGGGGGAGGCGGCTGCGCCTGGCGCTCCTTGGGCGGAGCGGGGTGCACGGGCTGCCCCTGCGCGGGGGGCTGCAGGTGGGGCGGGGGGATGGGCGCGGGGATGGGCGGAGACGGCTGCCTCTCCCGCGGGCCCATGCCCAGCGGCGGAGTGGGCTGCCTCTCCCGCGGAGGCGTCCCCAGGGGGGGCGTGGGCTGCCTCTGGGGGCCTCCGCCAGCGCCCGCGCGCGGAGCCTCCGCGGAGGGGTGCGGCGGAGGGCGCGCGCCGCTGGCGAAGGGCGCGGGGGGAGGCGCTTCCGCGATTTCTCCGTGGCGGGGGAAGCCCGTGGGGAGGTGCGTTTCGGATGTGGGGCCGAGCTCCTCCCTGCCGCCTTTCCCGCGTTCCATGGGAGGGGAACTAGCCTCGTAATACCCGTGTATGTAGGGCAACTAGCCTGATAGTAGCTGCGGCGTAAGCGTCAAGAAGCGGCGCGAGGACGGAGTCCGTTGCTGAGAAGAGCAGAAAGCAAGAGGAGGAGATGACGGCAACGACGGCTGTTATGAAAGGTGCCGTGCCGGGATTTGCGTCTCTCTGTGGGACAGCGCGTGAGTCTCTCGACTTACAGCGCGGGATTTCCCCAGGCTGACTGACCTGTCTGCTTGTCTCTGCTCCCCCCTCCTCCCCCCCCCCCCCCCCCACCCACTTTTGGCGGTCGGGCAAGGGGTCTAAAGTTGCGGAGACTCCAGAGTGGCCACGAGGGGAGAACCTCAGCGGAGATTGGTCCCGCGGGAAGGCGGAACGGCCGGGGGGAAACGAAAGCACGTGGGTTGTGGGCGCGGTGCAACGCCGAAGCCGCGAAGGCGGCGCCGCGAAGCAGCCCCAGTTTGGCGACGGGGGAATCGGTCTGGGCATGGCGCTGTTCTAATCAGGTGATGGCGACGGATGATGGGTCGAAAAATGGGTATGGTTTACTCGTGCATGCAGCGCGGTTCACTGGGATGCCTTAGTGAGTCAAAGGGGATGGGGCGCTCGTCGAATTTTAGAAACGCGCGCATGGCGTGTGCGTCACGGGCCCCTGAGCTGTTACGATGTGCGCCACGCAGAACGTGTCGCCCATCGGCAGGCGAACAGCTTGCATGGTGTCGCTTCAGCACATAAACAGGTTTGATGTGTTAGGTTTTGGAGGGGTAGATTAGTCCCATGTAAAGGGATTCAACATGGTTCCTATGGGGCTGAAATCTAACAACTTGATTGAAACTATTGCCATAACCGTAAGTGTCATAAATATGTGAAGCTACCTAACAAAGAGCACTTCCAAGACACGATGTATGTGGAATAGATTTTATGTTTTTTTCCTCTAAATGTATATCTTCCTTAGCCCTATTTTAGAAAGCAATATCTACATTATGAACTAGCAACCGCACATTGCATTTTTTAAATTTAATTCACTCACTTGAATGTAGATATCAAGCATACAAAACTTTCTGTCTCTTTAACGGTTTGTTGTCAGGCGAATCTATCGGTTTAGCTGGGGATTTTGAAAGCTGGATGTTAGATTCTCACTGCCGTGAGAAGAAGTGTCCACAAAACTCACGCGCACGATACAGTAGGTACACAGTTGTGGTCCCTGTCCACAAATTGAGCCACCTCAGACACAGTGGCCCCTCCAAGACTCTCTATGATGATTTGACGAGGTCTTATCCACAAGCTGGTTTAGTACGGCGAAGTGATCTGTCACCTGCAGCCACAAAACTTTAAGGGTACTGGAACTTGTGGTTGCTGATGGCTCTGTTTGTTGCACCCAGAAGAAAGGACACAACGACCAAATCTGAATTCTTAATCGCCTTTAGTGCAGTTGCCCAACTTGCGTCCTTTTGGTCTGGAGCCTCTTTGTTGGGTTTCTAGAGCAGTGTCTCCCATGAAAACCGGAGCTTATGTAAGAACCACCCAGGAATTCCACGACTCGATCTCTGGAATTTCACAATGCTGCAAAGATTAGGCCCGAAGACAGCGCTAGCTGGCAGCTTTTGTGCTGGTGTTTCATTGCCTGGAGGCAGCTGGACAAGGTACTGTACATTCCAAAAAAAGAACATGAAGCGCACAAGTTAGCGCGGGGGACAGACGTGATTGATTGGCTTGCAAACTCCCCGCTGGAACTTTTTTCGCAGGAATGCCCTTCGTCGAGTCAGCAAGAACTGTACATACAGTACATTCCGTCCAAGAAGAGATATCCCGCCGACGATATTCGACGATATCCGCCAGCAACAGGCAGACCCCGGTCACTCACGCTCATCCCCGTGGAGTTCTCCTTGCTGTTTGGTTGGTCGATCAATCGATGTGATTTCCCAGCCAAGCATGGCTTGTGTTGCTGCGTTTCTCTCGGAAAAGGTTGAGCTGTTCTTTTGCAGTTCGCGAGGCTGTTTAGTGGTTCGTTACTTTTGGATAATCCACATTCTCAACCCTTCCGTTGCTTGCTTAGAGGATTCGTAAGTGAACGAGGAAGCTCGATTTTACAGTTGTTGTTGTTATCTTTTCGTGTCGATAGTGTCGTTTCCCTGCAAAATTCAAGCGAATTTCAAGAGATAAAGATGAGGCTATTCGGTCGTAGTAACACCATAGCACCATTGACAGCGGAAGCAGCGTCATCCTCAGCAACAGAAACTGCTGGAACCGCTGATAACCCAACTCCGCTTCCTCCGCTCCTGATAGTACCTCCTGCATCGCCGTACAATGGCAGTCAAGCGAGTCAGAGCAGGTCAAGCGCTTGGGGTGGTAGCGGTACTGGCACGAACGGAACCACAAGCGCCAGCAGCGACGGATGCGGGACGGACGGCACGGATGGAACGGACGGTCTGGATGACTCGTCGGACGAAGCCAACGATGGAGAACCCCCGTCTTTCCTTTGCTTCGGCGGGAATCGCGGAATTTGGAACGTGGCGGATCGTGATTGGATGAGCCCCATGATTGGATACTTGCAAAGCCGATGGAGAGGAAAAGGAGGGGGCGCCGCCGGGAATTGCGAAGAAATCGACGGAGACGGAGAATCGGATCGAAAGAACGGAAGCGCGACAGTGGTAGACATTCTGTCCCCTTCCGTCGGCGGAGGAGAGCACAGTCCCCGGTCGGACGGAAGCGGCAGAAAGAGCCTGCTTGCGCCCGCCGGGGGGAAAGGCGGAGCGGAAAATGAGCCGCTGATTCCCTGGCGGAGGCGGTACCGGCGGAACAATCGCTACATCCGCCACCGGCGCGGGGAGGGCCCGGATGGATCCACGTGGCAGTACGTGGGCGACTTGTTCAGCGTGCAGCGATATCTGCGGATGAGTCTGATGTGGCGCCACTTGTGCATCGCGATGTGGGTGTTGGTGACTCTAGCGGCCGCTGCGGCCGTGTTCAGCGCGACGTATAAGAGCTTCCAAGACGAGCGCCAGGTGCGGCGGCTTTTGCGTCGGCCCAATTTATAATTCTTCTGAGACAATTCTGAGTCCATTTTTAAGTCGACTCCAGTGCGACGTATGGAGCGTCAGCTACGGCGGCGTCCCGTCGCACGGTGCGCGTTCTCTTTGAGGCTCGTGAGAGATCACTGCTGGCGTGCGGCGCTGCAACAATCGTCTCAGCATGCATTGCATCATTGCATTGCAATGCATTGGATTGCATTGCATTGCATTGCACCTCGTGTCGTGTCTACCTCCCACGCACCCACAATAAGCTCCCGCGTCGTGTCGTCGTGAACAGGTGGCCATGGAGGCGGATGGAGAGCGACTCGTATAATTAGAAGTTGCTTGAGACACCTCACCTCACCTCACATCACCTCACCTTGTACTGTTTCAGTGCGCATCGCACATCTACCAATGTCGCGGCTATCGTAATTCGGTGGCTATCGTAATAATCCCATGCTCTCGTACAACGTTCTGCTACAGGCGTCTCACTTATCGTTGCACATCTCACGTCGCCTGATGTTACAGCTGATGTGATGCCCACGTGTTCTCCGACGTGTTTCCCCCCGTGTTCCCCCCAGTGTTCTCCCCCGCCCGTGCTCTCCCCCGTGCTCCCCCCCTGCTCTCCCCGTGCTCTCCCCCGCGCTCTCCGCGTGAGCAGGCTGGCGCTGGAGGTGGGGTGCGAGGCGTACAAGAAGCTGCTGCAGGCGCCTCCCTTATCGTTCCAGTGCACATCGCATCGCACGTCCCCTGATGCTACAGCTGATGTGGTGTTCCCCTGCTCTCCCCCTGCTCCCCATGGTCCCTATGTGGTGCCCCGCATGCACAGGTGGCGCTGGAGGTGGAGTGCGAGACGTACCAGAAGTTGCTGCAGGCGCCACAATTATCGCTTTCAGTACGCATCGCATGTCGCCTCATGCTACAGCTGTGTTGTGATGTGATGTCCCCGTGCTCTTCCCATGGTCTCTATGTGGTGTCCGCATGCGCAGGTGGCACTCGAGGTGGAGTGTGAGGCTTACAAGAAGCTGCTGCAGGACCATGATCAATCCAGTTCCCCCATGCTCTCCCCCGTGCTCTTCCCCTGCTCTCCCCCTGCTATCCCCGTGCATGCGCAGGTGGCACTCGAGGTGGAGTGCGAGGCTTACAAGAAGCTGCTGCAGGACCATGATCAATCCAGTTCCCCCGTGCTCTCCCCCGTGCACTTCCCCTGCTCTCCCCCTGCTATCCCCGTGCATGCGCAGGTGGCACTCGAGGTGGAGTGCGAGGCTTACAAGAAGCTGCTGCAGGACCATGATCAATCCAGTTCCCCCGTGCTCTCCCCCGTGCTCTTCCCCTGCTCTCCCCCTGCTATCCCCGTGCATGCGCAGGTGGCACTCGAGGTGGAGTGCGAGGCTTATAAGAAGCTGCTGCAGGACCATGATCAATCCAGTTCCCCCGTGCTCTCCCCCGTGCTCTTCCCCTGCTCTCCCCCTGCTATCCTGGCACTCGAGGTGGAGTGCGAGGCTTACAAGAAGCTGCTGCAGGACCATGATCAATCCAGTTCCCCCGTGCTCTCCCCCGTGCTCTTCCCCTGCTCTCCCCCTGCTATCCCCGTGCATGCGCAGGTGGCACTCGAGGTGGAGTGTGAGGCGTACAAGAAGCTGCTTCAGGACCATTTCACCGACACTAGCAACCAGGTACCGCCGCTTTGTATTCCCCTTTTGAGGCGCCTCAAAAGGCAGGTACCACCGCTTTGTACACGCCACCAATCGGGCAGGTCCGCTTTGTAGGCGCCAACGTCCATGCATATCCAGTTTAACTCGAGTCATTGTTCTCGTCTCCACTTTTCTCTCTTTCACACCTTGTGATGAGATGGTTTAAGCGGCGCCTCTAATGTCGGCTCATTTTCAGCTCGCTTCCTCTTTCCCGCTGGCTGCTTGCAGATTCGCCTGCTGGCCAATTTGATGACCACGTTTCACTACAACAAGCCCCAGGGTACCCTCGACAGGGTGAGTTGGAACAACGGAGTGGGTTGAATTGAAACGGGGGAGCGAGTTGAAACGGTGGAGTGAGTTGAGATGATGAGTGAGTTGAAGCAATTTCATCTCCCTGTGTGCATCCCCGCAGCCCCCACCCGCTTCCCCCCGTTTGACCTTTCCCCTGTCCTGTCCCCTGTCCCCTTTCCCCTCTCCTCCCCCCTCCCCCCTCAACAGGCCACGTTCATGGGGTTCCTCAACGACCCGCAGTACGCTCATTCTCCATCCATCCTCACAACGCAGCTTCCGTTCATTCAACCTCTCTGCGCCGCTGTCCTCTCCTCCCCTTCTCCCCCCTTCTCCACTCTCTCCACCGCGGGCAGGCCTTTGAGAATTCCCAAAAGTCAAACAAAGATGCAGTTCGCTCATTCTCCATCCATCCTCACAACGCAGCTTCCGATCATTCAATGCAGTTTCCGTTCTCATCATCCTGTCCTCTCCCCCCTTTCTCCCCCCTTTCTCCCCCCTTTCTCTCCCCCCTTTCTCCCCCCTTCCCCACTCTCCCCCCCTCCAACAGGCCACGTTCATGGGGTTCCTCAACGACACGCAGCTCACTCACTCGAGTCCCTCCTCGCAACGCACCACCTTTTTCCCAGTTCGGCCCCTTCCCTGTCTGCTCTGCCCCCCCCCGTCTCCCCAACCCCCCTCCAACAGGCCACGTTCATGGGGTTCCTCAACGACACGCAGTACGCCGTCCTCCTTCCTCACAACACGGCACCTTTTTCCCGTTTGGCCTCTCTCCTGTCTCGTTCCCCTCTCTCCCTTTTCCTTCCCCTCCCCCCCCCCCGCAACAGGCCACGTTCATGGGGTTCCTCAACGACACGCAGTACGCTCGTCCGCGTTTGAGGGACGTCTCGTTTGCCGCTAGTGTGCCGCGCGCAGAGAGGGGGGCGTTTGAGAGGGCGCAGGGCAGCGGCTTCTGCATCAAGTGAGCTTCCTTCCTTCCGCCTGCCTCTGCTGCTTTCCGTGTGTGCGTGTGCTGCTCTGCGTGCATGGCATGTGTGTGTGTGTGTGTGTGTGTGTGTGTGTGTGTCTGTGTGTGTGTGTGTGTGTCTGTGTGTGTGTGTGTGTGTGTCTGTGTGTGTGTGTGTGTGTGTGTGTCTGTGTGTGTGTGTGTGTGTGTGTGTGTGTGCGCACGCGCGCGCGCGCTGCTCTTTGTGTCCTCTCCCCTCGTTGTTCTCCCGTATTCCACCTCCCTCTGCCCCCACCTCCCCACCTCCTCTCCCTCCCCGCTTTCCCCCGCTCCCCCCCCCGTGCGCGCGCAGGCACGACATGGCATGTGCGGAGCAGCAGTCGGACTACGCGCCCATCCTCTACACCTCGCACCACCTCCTCTCCCGTCCCCATCTCCTTTCCCTTCCCCACCTCCTCTCCCGTCCCCATCTCCTTTCCCTTCCCCACCTCCTCTCCCGTCCCCATCTCCTTTCCCTTCCCCACCTCCTCTCCCGTCCCCATCTCCTTTCCCTTCCCCACCTCCTCTCCCGTCCCCATCTCCTTTCCCTTCCCCACCTCCTCTCCCGTCCCCATCTCCTTTCCCTTCCCCACCTCCTCTCCCGTCCCCATCTCCTTTCCCTTCCCCACCTCCTCTCCCGTCCCCATCTCCTTTCCCTTCCCCACCTCCTCTCCCGTCCCCATCTCCTTTCCCTTCCCCACCTCCTCTCCCGTCCCCATCTCCTTTCCCTTCCCCACCTCCTCTCCCGTCCCCATCTCCTTTCCCTTCCCCACCGCCTTTCCCTTCCCCACCGCCTTTCCCTTCCCCACCGCCTTTCCCTTCCCCCTCTCCTCTCCCCCCTCTCTCCCCCTCCCCGTGCGCGCGCAGGCACGACATGGCATGTGCGGAACAGCAGTCTGACTACGCGCCCATCCTCTACACCACGTCATCGCATGAGCTCATAGGACAAGACATGCTCTGGGGTGAGTTCCTTCATCTGGGTTACCTGGTGTTTCTAGGTGAGAGTGGGGTGAGTGGGGTGAGTCTTTCAGTCAGACTACGCGCCCATCCTCTACTCCACGTCATCGCATGAGCTCATTGGACAAGACATGCTCTGGGGTGAGTCTCGTAGTCTAAGTTAGTCGGTGATTTTGGGTGAGAGTGGGTCGAGTCTGTCTCGGGTGAGTGGGGTGAGTCTGTCTGGGGTGAGTGGGGTGAATCTTTCAGTCTAACTACGTGGCCATCCTCTACACCACGTCATCGCATGAGCTCATTGGTCAAGACATGCTCTGGGGTGAGCTTCTTAGTCTGGGGGGCGACTGGGGCAAGTTTGGGGCGAGTGTGGGGCGAGTGTGGGGCGAGTGTGGGGCGAGTGTGGGGCGAGTGTGGGTCGAGTTTGGGGTGAGTGGGGTGAGTCTCTGAGTCTGACTACCCCTCCGCTGCAGATGGCAGTCGACACCTTGGGGGCCATCAACTCCAGGGCCAGTACTACTATTGTGCACGGTGCACAATCAACACTCTCTCCTCTCGTCATTTCACCCCCTCCCCCTCTTCTCCCACATCTCTCCCCGCTCCCTGCTCTCCAGACGCGTTCCCAGCCAACAGGGAGGCAGTGATTCGAGCGCGCGACCAGGGCGTTATGGGGGCACTCACCCCACCACTACAGATTTGCAGTCGACTGACCCCGCTGCCCTGGAGGGCAGGGCAGTACTACTGCTTACGAACATGCTCCTGCAACGCTCTCTCGGCTCCCACTTCTCAATCCCTTTTCCCCTGCAGATGCGTTCCCAGCCAACAGGGAGGCAGTGATTCGAGCGCGGGACCAGGGCGTCATGGGGGCACTCACCCCGCCGCTGCAGTTGGCAGTCAACTCAATGGGAGGCATTACTACTGCTGACTAACATGCCCCTGCACCACTCTCTCTCTCTGCTCCTGTTCTCTCACCCCATCGTCCCCTGCAGATGCGTTCCCAGCCAACAGGGAGGCAGTGATTCGAGCGCGCGACCAGGGCGTAATGGGGGCACTCACGCCTCCACTGCAGATGGCAGTCGACTCAATGGGAGGCATCAACGTCGGCAGCAGCAGCAGCACGGGCGCCTCAGGCAACACCGTAGCCTCCGAAGCGAGCGGCAACCGCGACCTAAACACCCTCATGTTGCGCATTTACCCGGTGTATCAGGAGCGTACCCCCCCGGACGCCGGGGCTAGCGTGGCTGAGTTCCGATCCAAGTGCCGCGGTTTCATGTCGGCTGTGATTGATTTTGAGCCGTTGATTAAATCGCTGCATCGGGAGCACATGCCGATGCTGGTGAGGGTTTACGATGTGACCAACGGGAGCAGCGAGGCTCAGACGGGGTACTATAACGCCGCTAACACCGCCGCCCGCGGGAACGGCAGCAGCGGCAGCACCACCACCACCAGCGGCACGACCAGCAGCATGACTTCAGCAAGCGGTGGCAGCACCACGCCGGTTCAGAGAACCGACAGCGGCACCAGTGGCAACACCAGCAGCAACAGCACAGGGGGCAGTGGGCACGTGGTTGGGTTTGGGGACACGATGGCAGTGCCGGGGGAGGTGTTGGGGCGCGGCAGTGTGGAGCGGCTGATGTATGAACCACAGGACCACCGGCTGGCCAAGGGGCAGAGCGACAAGTATAACTACGTCACCACCATGGACCTGGGGGACCCGTACCGACAATACGAGATCCGATGCAGGTATGATATGGCATGGTATGGTATGGTATGGCATGGACGCATTGGGTAGGGGGTGTGGATTGGCGTGTTTTGGAAAGAAACAGGCGCCCATTGTGTCACCACCATGGACCTGGGGGACCCATACCGGCAATACGAGATCCGATGCAGGTACGGGTGGCCAGGGTAGTGGGTGGGATGGGGTGGGGTGGGGTGGGGTGGGGTGGGGTGGGGTGGGGTGGGGTGGGGTGGGGATTGACTCTTGACAGTCAACAACCACTGGCACCCATCCCAGTCACGCGTTCTTGCCGCCCCTACTCCCGCGTAACTTGATTCCCAATTATTCCTCCCTCTTCCCCTTTCTTCTCCCTATCCTCTCCCCGCCTCCCCCCATTCCCATCTCCCGCTCCCCCCATTCCTCTACCCCCGTCCCCAAGGTACCTAGACTATTACGTCTTCCCCTAATCCTCGCTGGGCTGGGCGCTCGTTATAGTCACGGTGATGTCCCTTCTGGGCTACGTGTGGTGGGTGGCGAGCTCGCACGTGCACCAATTGGAGCACGACTTCCACCGCATGGAGCTGCTAAAGGACAAAATGAAGGCCTTCCTCCATTCCCCCCATTCACCTCCCCCACCCCATTCCCCCATTCCTCTCCCCCTGCCCCCCCATTCCCCTCCCCGCCTCCCCCCTTCCTCTGTTTATAGGTACCTGGATTACTACGTATTCCCCTACTCCTCCCTAGGGTGGGCGCTCGTTATAGTCACGGTGATGTCGCTGCTGGGGTACGTGTGGTGGGTGGCGAGCTCGCACGTGCACCAATTGGAGCACGACTTCCACCGCATGGAGCTGCTAAAGGACAAAATGAAGGCCGCCCGCAACGTGGCGGAGCGCGCCAGCAAGGCCAAGGGGACGTTCCTCGCCACCATGTCGCACGAGCTGCGCACGCCCATGAACGGCGTCATAGGTGGGTGGCTGGGATGTGTAGGTGGGGCAGATGGTTGGGTTGGGATGGATGGGTGGAGGTGAGTGGTTGTTGAGTTGTTGCAATAACGCGCCAGCAAGGCGAAAGGGACGTTCCTCGCCACCATGTCGCACGAGCTGCGCACTCCCATGAACGGCGTCATAGGTGCGTGATAGTGGTTGGAGGCGGGTGGTTGGGGTGGGTGGTGCTTGCTTGGCGTGGGCAGTGTCTGTGAGAGAGTGTTGGTTGAGTTGCTGTAGGCTGGGCTGCCAGCAAGGCCAAAGGGACGTTCCTCGCCACCATGTCGCATGAGCTGCTCACTCCCATGAACGGTGTCATAGGTGCATGGCTGGGGTGGGCGGGCGAGCGGGCGGGCGGGTGGGTGGGTTTGCAAGTGGTCCGGGTGAATGTTTGGCATTGGTGGTTTGGGTGAGTGAGTGGGTGTTGGGTTGCTTCACGACCGGGTCACCAGCAAGGCCAAGGGCACGTTCCTGGTCACCATGTCTCACGAGCGTGCAAGCACATACATGCAAGCACATGCATGCAAGCGCATGCTTGCAAGTGCATGCGTGCAAGCTCATTCATGCAAGCGCACATGCTCATGTATACCCCACCCAACTCCACTCCCTTCTCCCATTTCATCCCCCAGGCATGCTGAACCTGCTGCTGGAGACGCCTCTCACGATCACCCAGCTGGACTACGTGGAGACGGCTCGCACCAGTGGGAGGGCGCTGCTAGAGCTGATCAACGACATCCTCGACCTCTCCAAGATCGAGGTGCGTTGCAGAGGTGGAGAGAGGTGGAGAGCGGTGTACATATAGCGGTAGGAGTGCGCAGACCGAAGTGCGCACACCAGCGGGCGGGCGCTGCTGGAACTCATAAATGACATCCTCGACCTCTCCAAGATTGAGGTGAGTTGCAGGGGTGGTGAGAGGTGCAGAGCGGTGCATGTAAAGAGGTGCCATAGAGAGGTATGCTGGAACTGTGCACACAGTGCGGGCACCAGCGGGCAGGCGCTGCTGGAACTGATCAACGACATCCTCGACCTCTCCAAGATCGAGGTGCGTTGCAGAGGTGGTGAGAGGTGGAGAGCGGTGCACGTAGAGAGGCACGCTGGGAGTGTGCACAGAGTGCGGACACCAGTGGGCGGGCGCAGCGCAGCTAGAGCTCACAAATGACATCCTTGACCTCTCCAAGATCGAGGTGCGTTGCTCAAAGTAGAGAGGTGGTCACAGTGCTCATTATGCTCGCCCCCTTGCTGTTTCCTTCCCCCCAACCCATCACGCCCCTGCCCCGCCCCCCCTCCCTCTCTCCACCACACCAGGCGCAGAAGATGCAGCTGGAGAGGGTCCCCATGGACGTGCGGGTAGAGGTGGACACAGTACTCACCATGTTCATCGAGCGCTTAACTTTCTCCAACCCCCCCCCCCTTCCCCTCTTCTGCTTCTTCCCCCCATTCTCCCCTCCCCCCCACCCTCTCCACCCCACCAGGCACAGAAGATGCAGCTGGAGCGCGTCCCCATGGACGTGCGAGTGGAGGTGGACACGGTTCTCACCATGTTGGCCCCCCGTCCCTTTTCTTCTTCCCAATTCCCACCTCCCCCCCCACACCCCCCCACACCTCTTCATCCCCCAACCTCCCCCCCCCTCCAGGCACAGAAGATGCAGTTGGAGCGGGTCCCCATGGACGTGCGCGTTGAGGTGGACACGGTACTCACCATGTTCATCGAGCGCTTCCGAGACAAGCCGCTGCTGCAGGTCGCAGCCTATGTTGACCCGCTCGTGCCCGCTGCCGTGCTGGGCGATTCCCTGCGTTTACGCCAGGTGGGTTTCCATTGCGAACATGAGCTTTGTGGTTGCGTTATTTTGTTGCACAGAGGCTAAAGGGCTAACAGAGCTTGCACGTGTTTAGTTTTCCCCGTTCTGTGCTGCCAGTGTCAGCTGCTGTAATCTTCTTCTCCTTGCCCCTCGCTGCACCCATGCACTCTCAAACAGGTGCTCATCAACCTGCTGTCCAACGCGTGCAAGTTCACTGAACGTGGACACATTTTCGTCGCCATCCGCACGGCGGAACCAGACGAGGACCTGCGCAAGTCAGCGCGCAAGCACCACCACCATCACCACCGCTCCCTCCGCTCACACGCCCCTGCCATGATACTCGATCAGCCATCGGCCTCTGCTGTTGCAGCCGATAAGCCGTCAGCCACAGCAACTGACATGAAGAATGGCGGGACACAAAGTGTTACTGGCAGCACCAGTGCTGCTAGCAACGCTGCTGTTGCTTCCGCCGCTGCTGCTGGTAGCGGCAATGGCAGTTCTCAAAGTAAGGAGGTCGATGGGGCAAAGGAGAACACGGAGGAGAGTCCATCCAAGGATGTTGCCTTCCGACCTGAACGCCAATCGGCTCGTTTGAGTGCGCTCATGCTCGCTGCTGCTGATGGTGACATTGCAACTGATGCAGCTAATCCTGCTGCTGGGGTTGCTGGTGCTGCTGGTGCTGCCCCTACTGCTGTTGGTGCGACCGCTGCTGCCAGCGCAACCACCACGACGCACAGCAACAGCGACATCAAGAGCAGCTCCACGCCTCTCCCGCTGTCACCCCGTGTTCCCCCACCCGCCGAAAGGCTCGGTCGAACCAGCGTCACGGGCAGGCGAAGCAGCAGCAGCAGCATGGGCGGCGGCAGCGGCAGCGGCAGCGGGGTGAACGGCACGGCGCCTGACAGGCTGACCCTGAGCGGGCGCGAGGCGGTGGATAGTTGTAACAGCTGGGTGGTGCTGGGCGCGAGACGAGACAAGTGGCGCGAAGAGGGGATGCGACGGGCGGAGAAGAGGGAGGGGAAGAGGAATGGTGGGGAGGGAGGGACGGGGGACGGGGGGATGGAAGGGGAGCGAGGAGAGGAAGGAGAGGGTAGTCGAAAGGGATTTGGAGGAGGGGGGAGTCCTCTGCTGAATGGCCCGATCGTGCGACTGGTCATCTCTGTTGAGGTACGGGCCTTCTGATATGGCACCTCCAGGGGAAATACTAACATACAGGCGAATATTTCATCTCTCTCATCCCCCCCTACATACGGCCCAGCTCACCATTCCGAAGCCGTTCATGCAGGCGTGCGCACAACAGGCGTGCGCACGTGCTGCCTAATCTCATTCTCCTCCTCCTTTCCTTCCCTTTCCTCCTCACCCACCAACAGGACACGGGCGAGGGCATCCCATACCCTGCACAGCGAACCATCCTCAAACCCTTCATGCAGGCAGACGCCTCAACAACGCGCACGCACGGCGGCACGGGCATCGGGCTGTCCATCTCGCGCCACCTGGTTGACCTCATGGGCGGCAAGCTCTCCTTCACCTCGCGCCCGGGTGTCGGCACCACCTTCTTCTTTGATGTGGTCATGCCATGTGATAGCCGGGACGGTGAGCCCGTGGCTGCTGCTGCAGCTGATGTGGCTGAATTAGCTGCTGCTGCCGCTGCTGCTCGTTCTGCTGGTGCTTCAGGGCCTGCAGGAGCAGAAAGAGGAACAGGGGCAGCAGCAGGAACAGGGGCAGCAGCAGGATCAGGAGCAGCAGCAGGAACAGGAACAGGAGCAGGAGTAGGGGCAGCAGCACTGGCAAGAGCAGCTTCATTGGTAGGGTCGGCAGATTCTGTGATTGTAGAGATCAGAGATCCAGAGCACGGCGTCGCTCTGAAGGACGACGACGGGTGCAGCTTCCCCCTCCTTGCCGAACCTACTTCAGGTTCGGAATCACCGCTGCTGCCATGGGCTGTTCCAGCTTCGGCACCGGCAGCCGCATCACCACCTCCTTCAGTTACACCAGCAGCACTTACAGCACTATACCCCTTAAGGTCATCCCCACTAAGAGCATCTCCACCACACGTTCTCCCAGCCTCGCCACTACACCTCCTCCAGCTGACCGAAGCAAGCTTATCTCAATTCTCCGCCATTCTCCTCGACGACCGCCCGGTGAGGTTCGGCGTGATGGAGAGCCTGCTTAACAGGCTCGGCATCCCGGTGCTGAACACCCCCGAAGCTGTTGCCGAACCTATTGTGCGCATTCCAAACCCCAGCTCCCTCCTCACCGCTCCAGCTGCAGTGGGCGCAGGAGTGGGTAAGCGGCCGGTGATTGTAGTGGTGGATGAGGAGTGGCTGGGGCGACACAACAAGGCAGTGCTTCAACACAAGAAGAAACAGAGCGAGGGGGAGGGGCAGGGGGGACAAGAGGGACAGGAAGGGGAGGAGGTGCGGGAGGTGCAGGAAGGGCAGGAAGTGGGGAAGAAGAGGGCACGGAAGGAGGGCGAGAGGTGTATCAGCAGCAGCAGCTGCACATGGCATTGGCTTGCAGCGAGTGCCATGGCCGAAGCAGGCTACGAGGTTTGGCCGAGCCTGCTTCACCAATCGGGCTCGGTAAAGGCAGCTGGTGGTAACCAGGATTGCGGCAACCAAAGAAGTGGTAACTGTGCACATGGCGGCAGCAGTGGTAGCAGCCCTGGCAGCAGCCAATCCTGCGGCAATAGTGAGAGTGGCAACAGCAAGGATGGTGATGGCGGCTGTAGCGGAGAAAAATGTCACACATGCCGGCTGCCTCGATTGAGTAGAGGCAGTTTCTGCAGCACCAGCAGCAGCAGCAGTAATAGCAGCAGCAGCACCAGCATTGGAGCAAGCACTGAGATCACTACCCGCAGCAGTTTCTGCAGCAGCAGCGGCAACAGCAGTGGCACCAGCAGTCAAGGGTGTGGCTTCTGCTGCTGTGGGAGCAGTGGAGAGGGCGTGATGGATGGAAGTGATAGCATGGATGATTGGCCTTGGTTTGCTGCTGTGCTGCTGTCCTCAGGGCACGAGGGCAGTAAGGCTTCGGCACAATGTAAGGCTTTCGATGTGACTATATCGAAGCCCGTGAGGCAGACTGCCCTCTCTACAAACCTCTCTCTGTTGCTTCTAGGGCCGGATGGAGGGCTGGGGACAGAGGATGAGGTGGAGGAGGAGGAAGAGCGAGAAAGGATGGTGGGGAGGGAGGAGGAGGGGGGTGATGACGGCGATGATGAACGGGAGTATGATGATGAGGATGACGAGGAGGACGGGGAGGAAGAGCAGTGTAAAGCAGGGAAAGGAGAGGAAGGGAAGCAGGTAGGCAGAGGCACAGGAGTGCTTCAAACAGGAGGTGAGGCTCAGGAGCAGAAACAGCAGCGGCAGCAGCAGCAACAGCAGCCGAAGCAATGCTCACTGCCGAAAAGCGCATCAGACCAGAGCTCGCCGGGTCCCGTGGTGCGATGGCTGCTACCTGCTGATGATGATGAGGATGGCGATTCCGACAGAACTGCCCACAGCGGCCCGCTGCCACGCGTTCACGGGGAGAAGGGGATTTACTGGCCTGGTAGCACCACCAGCAGCAGCACCAGGGGCAGCAGCACTGGAAAGAATAGCGGCAAGAGTCCTCAAAGAGCAGGCATCCTCAAATCCAGCAGCACCGATATGAAACCCGATGAAGCTTCCCCTGCTCCGGCTGCTCCTGCTGCTTCTGCTCCTCCTGCTGTCCCTGCTGCTTCTCCCACCTCTGCTGCTACCCCTGCTGCTCCTGCTCAGACTGGTGATGGTCTTGACACTGCGTTTGGGCGGCAGGCAAGGCGAGTGAGAATGAGTCTGGACGAGGTGGGGTCAGCTCGGTCAACTCAGTCAACACGGTCAACGACAGGGTTCAAACCACGCAGATCCACAGGCTCCATGCAGGAAGGGGATGTGTCAACCATTGCCCCCCGCCGTAACACCCGTGCCGCCCAGGCGGCTGCTGGAAGCCCTTCCTCCGTGCCGCCCGCTCTGCCGTCGGGAGCGTCGATGCGCAAGGAGAGTGATGGAGCAAGGCTGCTGTGCCAGGCGCTCAAGGGGAAGAGGATTCTCGTGGTAAGAGTCTCGAATAAGCTCCTGGGAAGATCTAGGTGGCTTTTGAGTCGACTCAAAAGTCACCTCGACTCAAAATTCGCAAGGAGAGTGATGGAGCGAGGCTGCTGTGCCAGGCGGTCAAGGGAAAGAGGATTCTCGTGGTAAGTCTCCATGGACTGCCCTCTCTCTGCTATGTTGACTTTTGAGTCGACACAAAAGGCTGCTGTGCCAGGCGCTCAAGGGGAAGAGGATTCTCAAAGAGTCCTTGAGGTAAGAGTCTCGAATGTGCTTCTGCGCAAATCCAGGTGACTTGTGAGTCGACTCAAAAGTCACCTCGACTCAAATGGTGCAAGGAGAGTGATGGAGCAAGGCTGCTGTGCCAGGCGCTCCAGGGGATTCTCGTGGTAAGTCTCGAATGTGCTCCTTCCTGAGCAAATCCTCAACGTGTCGCCACTGTGCTGATCAACTCGCCCATTCTCCCCTCCCTTCCCACCAGGTGGACGACAACATGGTGAACCGCAAGGTGATGGCGCGTATGCTGCAGCGGTATGGAGTGGATGTGGAGACGGTGGATGGCGGGGCCAAGGCTGTCAAGGCCGTGCAGCAGGCAACTACCAGATTTGATTGCGTCTTCATGGACGTGCAGGTGCGATTTGATTGCAACTTCATGACGTGCAGATGCGGTCGCTTTGTTTCTGGTTGGCTGTTTTTTTACGTTATTGGGTTGTGTTTTATCGATTGATGGATTGTTGTTTTTTTACAATGTGATATTGCAGATGCCGGAGATGGATGGGTTGGAAGCTACGGGACTCATCCGCAAGTATGAAGCTGGTGTGAGAGGTGGAAACACACAAAAGGACCGGGGAACTGATCGACTATTGGTCATTGCACTGACCGCTGATGTGGGTGCTAGCACAAGGGAGAAGTGCTTGAAGCATGGGATGGATGGGTACATGACCAAACCAATAGAAGAAGAGCAGCTCTGTCGGGTTGTGTTGCCGTTTTTCACAGCCTTGGCAGCTTGCTCACGAACATAATGGTATACGGTATAAGCTTTCTATGCCGTGTTGCTATTCTTATATAAGCGTCCTATTTTGTTTATTTGTACGAGTATACAAGCATGCAAAATGCTGTCATGGATTGAGAAGGAAGGTTCTGTAGGGACCGTCGCACCCAACTGTCAGGCTCGTCTGTCAGGTTCCCGCCAAATTCCCTTGGGATTGGTTTGGAACATCGCCGTGCGAGTCAAGGCTGAAGCGTCCCAGCAGTCAGGGACACACCCGAGGGCTGCAGCAGAGCGTGACCAAAATTGTTAGATGCAAGGGTAGCGGAAGCACATGTCACATGTGGAATGGCGTTTTTGGAAGATCAATGGTTCCGCGGCTTCGATGCGTTGTTTTTGTATTTTCGCGATCGCCACGCTCCGTGCCCTCGATAATTACGCGGCTCTCGATGCTGCTGCTGGCTGCTTCCAGTTGCAACGTTGACATTTTGGACATTTTCCTAACGCTGTCACTTTTACAGGCAGAGAGTGCGGCGCTGAACGTTGTTGCGTGAGGATAGAACAAGAGCGCGCTGTCACAGTGTATCTATTAGGCACGTGACTGGTTTTGAGGCGCCTCAAAAGTCGTCGTTGCGTGAGGATAGAACAGGAACGCGCTGTCACAGTTTATCTACTAGGCACGTGACAGGGAGTTTTGGTGGTACGCTAGGATGCCGTTCTTCGAAGCTCGCCGCGCGTTTGATCGTGCGCTGGCGTCAGACACGTGGACAGACCCCGTTATAGTCACAAGAGCCGTTAGAAGGCAGCTAGGACTAACTGAGCCCGCAGAAACAGCTTCTGTGTCGGCTAAAGGGAACGGAGCTGCAGCTTCTGCTGGGGAAAAGGGAACGCAGGGAGAAATCGAGAACGCAGCAGAAATGCTAGAGCAAACAGCCACTAGCGCAGTCGAAGCAACAGAAAAGGGAACGCAGGGAGAAATAGAGAACGCTGCAGAAATGCTAGAGCAGGTAGCTACTGGTGCAGCTTCTTTTGGGAGAAATGGAACGAAGGGAGAAATAGAGAGTGCAGCAGAAATGCTAGAGCAAATAGCTACTGGTGCAGCCGAAGCGACAGCTAGTAACGGAGCGGGAGTAGAAGCAAGCGACGGGGAAGCCAGCGGATGGCCTCTTCGCAGCCAGACGGTTCAGACGGCATATCACAACTCCCCAGGTGCGCCGTTGAAGTGACGCTCTAGTCGACGGAAAGCATGAGCTTGTCCCTTAAGTCCAGCTGTTCATCCAGCTTTGAGACATCTCGCAACTATAACAGCAAGTGGTTGCGTCTGTCGTCCATACAGAAATGGCCATGGTTTGTCTATCCAGCCTTTACAGTCATCTTACTTTCTTAGCGAAGTGTGGTTGCGTGGGTAAGTGCTGGAGTTTGCACCAGACGTTCTAACGACCAGATCCCATAAGACCATGCCCAGTAAAGTGGCAACAAGATGTCGTTTCATGCATGATTTTCAAAAATACACGGTTCCACCTTGGGCCTGCACCGCCATGGATGCGCGCTTTTCCCTCACTCCATGCTTCCACCTTCCTGTATTCTTGCTTCATGCGATCAAACTTTCCTTTGCGCATCCCATGTCTCCTTCGTGCGCCCACTATCTCCATTGTGCATCCCATGTTTCCTATGTGCGAGCAATATTTCCTACCTGTTTCCACGTGCAACCTTGAGTGCTCATTTGCGACCATGTGCGACCATTCCTTTCCAACAGACGGCGCCACGAATAACAGCAACTCAGCCGCTCCAGCCGACCCTCCACCCACCGAAGCCCTCCCCCCATCAGCAGCAGCACCGGCCAAAGCACCTGAATCCCACTCCCAGCCCCAACCCGAGCCAGAGCCCCGTCTGACGCACGAGCAGTACTCAGGACTGGCGGAGGGCACGGAAATGGAGAAGGTGGTGGCAGCGCGGGTGAGGGACACGGAGGGCATGCTGGAGGCACTGCGCAGTGCGGCGGGCAGCAGCTACGAGGACATGGCTCTGCACCGCGAGGAGTCGCGAGCTCACCCCGAGGCCTTTGGGCATCGCGACTGGCGGGTGAGAGGGGGTGGCGGGTGAGCGGGGTAACAGCGAATAGCATGGAAGGTGCGTGAGAGAGCACAATCAGTGCGGCGGGCAGCAGCTTCGAGGACATGGCTCTGCACCGCGAGGAATCACGTGCTCACCCCGAGGCGTTTGGGCAGCACGACTGGCGGGTGAGCATAGCTAGCGGGAGGGTGTAGTGGGGATCGAGAGGGGGTAGCGGGTGGGAGGGAGTGGGGGTTGAGCGGGGTAATAGGGACTAGCAGGGCAGGTACGAGGACATGGCGCTGCACCGCGAGGAGTCCCGCTCCCACCCGGAGGCGTTCGGGCAGCGCGACTGGCGGGTGAGGATAAGCAGAACTAGTGGGAGGGTGTAGTGGGGGGTGAGCGGTGGGGAATGAGAGGGAGTGGTGGGTGAGAGGGGGTGGCGGGGGAGAGGGAGTGGTGGGTGAGCGTGCGTGGTAACAGGTTGCCGGCTGGAAACAAAAAGAGTGTGGCGGGCGGGCAGCAGCGTTGAGCACATGCACATGGGGAGGGTGCACAACGGCGAGTCACACCACTCCCCGATAGAATCTGAAGCTAGAGCGTTGGGGGCGTAAGGAGGAGAGGAGAGTCTCCCTGCCTTTGTTCCGACTTCCCCCCACTATGCTTTGCAGAGGATGGGGGGAGTCTTCACTGTGCGCAGGGTGTTCATAGCTCCCCACCCACCCTGCCCCCCCACACCGCCTCTCCCCCCCCTCTTCCCTCCCCTTCCTGACTTTCCTCATGCCTTCTTCTCCCTCGCCCCGCATGCAGTTAAAGAGCAGAGCAAGAGCCACAGGGTGATGTACCACCCAGGGGCGGAGGGGTTGTTCATACCTCCATCTTCCGCTCCCCCTGACCTCCCCTAGACAATCCTCCCCTTCTTCACACCTTCTCCTCCCTCGCCCCGCGTGCAGCTGAAGGAGCAGAGCAAGAGCCACAGGGTGATGTACCGCCCAGGCGCAGAGGGAACGGCCTTCCACGAGCTGTGCCTGGAGGGCGTGCTCAAGGGATCCCTCGACACTGGTGGGCTGCTCTTTCAGTTTGCCCTCCCTTGTTGTTTGAGTCGAAACAAAGAAGGGCCTTTCACGAGCTCTGTTTGGAGGGCGTGCTCAAGGGATCCCTCGACACTGGTGGACTGCTCTGTTTTTTCTAGCAGATCTGTTATGCATGCTGGTGTGGTGCTCTCTTTGCCTTTGCCTCCACTGTTTCCCAACCCTCCCCCAGTGATCTCAGACCCTCGCACACTGCTTTGTCTTTTGATACATGTCAGAAATGGTGCTGGTATCACGTCCATCCGCCCATCTGTGCCCATCGCTTCGTCTCCATCATTCTTTCTTCTGCACAATGTGACTGGATGCTATCTTTGTGCTTTTACAGACTATCTTTGTGCTTTTTCAGACTTCAGATTTTCTTACATCCACTTCGCTATTCTTGTCTGCATGCTGCAGTGCTCGCGGTGGCGTGGGAGGCTCCATTCTTCATTGACTGGTACGTGTGCTCGCCATGTGTCCCCATGGGTACACACACGTGTCAGTGCATCAAGGGTGCTTATGCCCTGCCATCTTCCACTTTGCCAGTTCATTGACACTTTGTTGATGCGTTCTCATGTATGTGTGATCTCGTACAGTTTCTTGCCGCCGTCTCTCGCACTCTGTCCGGCCGATTCCCAGCTCACTCCCTCCCTCTCGTCCTCCTCGTTGTTCTCGTCATTTTTATCCAACCTCCTTGTCCATCCCTCCCTCCCTCCCTCCCTCCCTCCCTCCCTCCCTCCCTCCCTCCCTCCCTCCCTCCCTCCCTCCCTCCCTCCCTCCCTCCCTCCCTCCCTCCCTCCCTCCCTCCCTCCCTCCCTCCCTTCCTCCCTCCTTCCCTCCTTCCCTCTCTCCCATCACTCTCCCACTTCCCTCCCGCCACGTCTTTTCCTCGCCCCCAGGTGGCCGCGGTCCTCAGTTCCGCCCTTCCACGTGCTCGAGTCCAAGTTCGTCAAGCGAGGGACTCATCCCTCTCTCTTCCTCTCACTGTTTGCGTCCCTCACATCGCTTCTTCTCCTCGCCCCTCCCCTCTCGTCTTTCTTTGCTCCCAGGTGGCCGCGGTCCTCAGTTCCGCCCTTCCACGTGCTCGAGTCCAAGTTCGTCAAGCGAGTGGATCAATCCTTCCCCCTCTCCTCCTCTCACTGCGTGCGTCCCTCTCATCCCGTCTCTCCTCGCCCCTCTCCTCCCTCCCCCAGGTGGCCGCAGTGCTCAGTGCCGCCTTTCCACGTGCTCGAGTCCAAGTTCGTCAAGAGATGGGCTCAATCCCTCTCTCCTCTCGCTGCGTGCGTCCCTCACACACAAACATCACGTCTCTCCTCACATCACTCACATCACTTCTCGCCTCACCCCCCACCTTCCCCAGGTGGCCGCAGTTTTCAGTGCCGCCTTTCCACGTGCTCGAGTCCAAGTTCGTCAAGAGATGGGCTCAATCCCTCTCTCCTCTCGCTGCGTGCGTCCCTCACACACAAACATCACGTCTCTCCTCACATCACTCACATCACTTCTCGCCTCACCCCCCACCTTCCCCAGGTGGCCGCAGTTTTCAGTGCCGCCTTTCCACGTGCTCGAGTCCAAGTTCGTCAAGAGATGGGCTCAATCCCTCTCTCCTCTCGCTGCGTGCGTCCCTCACACACAAACATCACGTCTCTCCTCACATCACTCACATCACTTCTCGCCTCACCCCTCTTCCCCCCAGGTGGCCGCAGTTTTCAGTGCCGCCTTTCCACGTGCTCGAGTCCAAGTTCGTCAAGAGATGGGCTCAATCCCTCTCTCCTCTCGCTGCGTGCGTCCCTCACACACAAACATCACGTCTCTCCTCACATCACTCACATCACTTCTCGCCTCACCCCCCACCTTCCCCAGGTGGCCGCAGTTTTCAGTGCCGCCTTTCCACGTGCTCGAGTCCAAGTTCGTCAAGAGATGGGCTCAATCCCTCTCTCCTCTCGCTGCGTGCGTCCCTCACACACAAACATCACGTCTCTCCTCACATCACTCACATCACTTCTCGCCTCACCCCTCTTCCCCCCAGGTGGCCGCAGTTTTCAGTGCCGCCTTTCCACGTGCTCGAGTCCAAGTTCGTCAAGAGATGGGCTCAATCCCTCTCTCCTCTCGCTGCGTGCGTCCCTCACACACAAACATCACGTCTCTCCTCACATCACTCACATCACTTCTCGCCTCACCCCTCTTCCCCCCAGGTGGCCGCAGTTTTCAGTGCCGCCTTTCCACGTGCTCGAGTCCAAGTTCGTCAAGAGATGGGCTCAATCCCTCTCTCCTCTCGCTGCGTGCGTCCCTCACACACAAACATCACGTCTCTCCTCACATCACTCACATCACTTCTCGCCTCACCCCTCTTCCCCCCAGGTGGCCGCAGTTTTCAGTGCCGCCTTTCCACGTGCTCGAGTCCAAGTTCGTCAAGAGATGGGCTCAATCCCTCTCTCCTCTCGCTGCGTGCGTCCCTCACACACAAACATCACGTCTCTCCTCACATCACTCACATCACTTCTCGCCTCACCCCTCTTCCCCCCAGGTGGCCGCAGTTTTCAGTGCCGCCTTTCCACGTGCTCGAGTCCAAGTTCGTCAAGAGATGGGCTCAATCCCTCTCTCCTCTCGCTGCGTGCGTCCCTCACACACAAACATCACGTCTCTCCTCACATCACTCACATCACTTCTCGCCTCACCCCTCTTCCCCCCAGGTGGCCGCAGTTTTCAGTGCCGCCTTTCCACGTGCTCGAGTCCAAGTTCGTCAAGAGATGGGCTCAATCCCTCTCTCCTCTCGCTGCGTGCGTCCCTCACACACAAACATCACGTCTCTCCTCACATCACTCACATCACTTCTCGCCTCACCCCCCACCTTCCCCAGGTGGCCGCAGTTTTCAGTGCCGCCTTTCCACGTGCTCGAGTCCAAGTTCGTCAAGAGATGGGCTCAATCCCTCTCTCCTCTCGCTGCGTGCGTCCCTCACACACAAACATCACGTCTCTCCTCACATCACTCACATCACTTCTCGCCTCACCCCTCTTCCCCCCAGGTGGCCGCAGTTTTCAGTGCCGCCTTTCCACGTGCTCGAGTCCAAGTTCGTCAAGAGATGGGCTCAATCCCTCTCTCCTCTCGCTGCGTGCGTCCCTCACACACAAACATCACGTCTCTCCTCACATCACTCACATCACTTCTCGCCTCACCCCTCTTCCCCCCAGGTGGCCGCAGTTTTCAGTGCCGCCTTTCCACGTGCTCGAGTCCAAGTTCGTCAAGAGATGGGCTCAATCCCTCTCTCCTCTCGCTGCGTGCGTCCCTCACACACAAACATCACGTCTCTCCTCACATCACTCACATCACTTCTCGCCTCACCCCTCTTCCCCCCAGGTGGCCGCAGTTTTCAGTGCCGCCTTTCCACGTGCTCGAGTCCAAGTTCGTCAAGAGATGGGCTCAATCCCTCTCTCCTCTCGCTGCGTGCGTCCCTCACACACAAACATCACGTCTCTCCTCACATCACTCACATCACTTCTCGCCTCACCCCTCTTCCCCCCAGGTGGCCGCAGTTTTCAGTGCCGCCTTTCCACGTGCTCGAGTCCAAGTTCGTCAAGAGATGGGCTCAATCCCTCTCTCCTCTCGCTGCGTGCGTCCCTCACACACAAACATCACGTCTCTCCTCACATCACTCACATCACTTCTCGCCTCACCCCTCTTCCCCCCAGGTGGCCGCAGTTTTCAGTGCCGCCTTTCCACGTGCTCGAGTCCAAGTTCGTCAAGAGATGGGCTCAATCCCTCTCTCCTCTCGCTGCGTGCGTCCCTCACACACAAACATCACGTCTCTCCTCACATCACTCACATCACTTCTCGCCTCACCCCTCTTCCCCCCAGGTGGCCGCAGTTTTCAGTGCCGCCTTTCCACGTGCTCGAGTCCAAGTTCGTCAAGAGATGGGCTCAATCCCTCTCTCCTCTCGCTGCGTGCGTCCCTCACACACAAACATCACGTCTCTCCTCACATCACTCACATCACTTCTCGCCTCACCCCTCTTCCCCCCAGGTGGCCGCAGTTTTCAGTGCCGCCTTTCCACGTGCTCGAGTCCAAGTTCGTCAAGAGATGGGCTCAATCCCTCTCTCCTCTCGCTGCGTGCGTCCCTCACACACAAACATCACGTCTCTCCTCACATCACTCACATCACTTCTCGCCTCACCCCTCTTCCCCCCAGGTGGCCGCAGTTTTCAGTGCCGCCTTTCCACGTGCTCGAGTCCAAGTTCGTCAAGAGATGGGCTCAATCCCTCTCTCCTCTCGCTGCGTGCGTCCCTCACACACAAACATCACGTCTCTCCTCACATCACTCACATCACTTCTCGCCTCACCCCTCTTCCCCCCAGGTGGCCGCAGTTTTCAGTGCCGCCTTTCCACGTGCTCGAGTCCAAGTTCGTCAAGAGATGGGCTCAATCCCTCTCTCCTCTCGCTGCGTGCGTCCCTCACACACAAACATCACGTCTCTCCTCACATCACTCACATCACTTCTCGCCTCACCCCTCTTCCCCCCAGGTGGCCGCAGTTTTCAGTGCCGCCTTTCCACGTGCTCGAGTCCAAGTTCGTCAAGAGATGGGCTCAATCCCTCTCTCCTCTCGCTGCGTGCGTCCCTCACACACAAACATCACGTCTCTCCTCACATCACTCACATCACTTCTCGCCTCACCCCTCTTCCCCCCAGGTGGCCGCAGTTTTCAGTGCCGCCTTTCCACGTGCTCGAGTCCAAGTTCGTCAAGAGATGGGCTCAATCCCTCTCTCCTCTCGCTGCGTGCGTCCCTCACACACAAACATCACGTCTCTCCTCACATCACTCACATCACTTCTCGCCTCACCCCCCACCTTCCCCAGGTGGCCGCAGTTTTCAGTGCCGCCTTTCCACGTGCTCGAGTCCAAGTTCGTCAAGAGATGGGCTCAATCCCTCTCTCCTCTCGCTGCGTGCGTCCCTCACACACAAACATCACGTCTCTCCTCACATCACTCACATCACTTCTCGCCTCACCCCTCTTCCCCCCAGGTGGCCGCAGTTTTCAGTGCCGCCTTTCCACGTGCTCGAGTCCAAGTTCGTCAAGAGATGGGCTCAATCCCTCTCTCCTCTCGCTGCGTGCGTCCCTCACACACAAACATCACGTCTCTCCTCACATCACTCACATCACTTCTCGCCTCACCCCTCTTCCCCCCAGGTGGCCGCAGTTTTCAGTGCCGCCTTTCCACGTGCTCGAGTCCAAGTTCGTCAAGAGATGGGCTCAATCCCTCTCTCCTCTCGCTGCGTGCGTCCCTCACACACAAACATCACGTCTCTCCTCACATCACTCACATCACTTCTCGCCTCACCCCTCTTCCCCCCAGGTGGCCGCAGTTTTCAGTGCCGCCTTTCCACGTGCTCGAGTCCAAGTTCGTCAAGAGATGGGCTCAATCCCTCTCTCCTCTCGCTGCGTGCGTCCCTCACACACAAACA